GAGCCCTGAGGAGCCCTGAGGAGCCCTGAGGAGCCCTGAGGGTGCCCTGAGGGTGCCCTGAGGTGCCATGAGGAGCCCTGAGGTGCCATGAGGAGCCCTGAAGTGCCATGAGGAGCCCTGAAGTGCCGTGAGGTGCCATGAGGAGCCCTGAGGTGCCATGAGGTGCTGTGAGGAGCCCTGAGGTGCCCTGAAGGTGCCCTGAGGTGCCGTGAGGAGCCCTGAAGGTGCCCTGAGGGTGCCCTGAAGTGCCGTGAGGTGCCGTGAGGAGCCCTGAGGTGCCGTGAGGTGCTGTGAGGAGCCCTGAGGTGCCCTGAAGGTGCCCTGAGGCGTTGTGAGGAGCCCTGAAGGTGCCGTGAGGAGCCCTGAGGTGCTGTGAGGAGCCCTGAGGGTGCCCTGAGGCGCCATGAGGAGCCCTGAAGGTGCCCTGAGGAGCCCTGAGGCGTCGTGAGGAGCCCTGAAGGTTCCCTGAGGAGCCCTGAAGGTGCCATGAGGCGCCGTGAGGAGCCCTGAGGTACCGTGAGGAGCCCTGAAGGTTCCCTGAGGTGCTGTGAGGAGCCCTGAGGTGCCCTGAAGGTGCCCTGAGGTGCCCTGAAGGTGCCCTGAGGTGCTGTGAGGAGCCCTGAAGGTGCCCTGAGGTGCCCTGAGGTGCTGTGAGGAGCCCTGAGGGGCCCTGAAGGAGGCCTGAGGGAGCCCTGAGGTGCCCTGAAGGTGCCCTGAGGCGTTGTGAGGAGCCCTGAAGGTGCCCTGAGGCGCCGTGAGGAGCCCTGAGGTGCCCTGAGGAGCCCTGAAGGTGTCATGAGGTGCTGTGAGGAGCCCTGAAGGTGCCATGAGGTGCTGTGAGGAGCCCTGAGGCGCCGTGAGGAGCCCTGAAGGTGCCCTGAGGTGCTGTGAGGAGCCCTGAAGGTGCCGTGAGGTGTCGTGAGGAGCCCTGAAGGTGCCCTGAGGTGCCGTGGGGCAGCAGGGGGGTCCCGCCAACCCGGTGCTCCCACACCTCACGCCCTACTCGGGGATGAGGAAGAATCTGTGAGGTGTTGCGCCCTCCTGACACCGTTGTGGAAAACAAACCAACGAAACAACCCAACACGTCGAGTGCCGGAAGCGTTTAGGCGCTGGGGCGAAGGGCTGGGCCATAGGGGGGGATGTGGCCGAGGCGTGGAGGAGCGGGTGGCCCGGCGGGGAGAGGCCAGCTGGGCAGGGGGCTGGCAGTGAGGGGGTCACCAGCCCCGCCGAGGCCTCGGGTGCAGCTGGGGATGCCTTTGAGGGGTGTCTGAGAGAGGGGGAGAGCGGCCTGGTGTGCAAGGAAGGCGTTCGTGGAGGTTGCCAGGCCACGCTTGACAGAGGCCCAAACACACGCGGGTAGAGGGAGGAGGAGGTCAGGGCTGTCTCTTGCAGCATTCAGAAGGCACAGGTTGAGTTGGTATTGTGATATATGTCCACCTGATTCATGTCAATATATGTATATAAGTTCTATATTAGCGTTGCGAATGGCGCCAGGTCTGATCACAGGCCCAGGCTATGCTGCTGCATTGGGAGCTGCCTGGCTAGCAAATGACACATCCCTCCTCTTTGGCCTGTGAGCACCCCTAGAAAGCCCAATCTGCTCCAGAATTTTGCAGTTTCCTGCCCCAGCCGTGATCTTTCTGTTGCAGGAGGAGGAACAGAGGTAGCTCAGGGCATTCAACTAAGTGACTGTCATTGTAGCTTAATATCCCTGGAAACCGTTTTTGTCCAGTTAATTCTGTCACAGTCTTTTGCAAAGATCCAGTTCTTCTTTTAAGGTTTAAAGAAAATAATCTAG